ACCAAATTTTACAAGCAACAGCAACGCAACGCCAGGAACAGTATGATGCCAGTATGGAAAAAACTTTTAAACAAAACACTTGTACAGACACCATCTATGCAACTACGGTATGAAATTCTTATCCAAGCACTTTCTGTATTGCTGCAGAAGCAAAAAGAAAAAAAGAAGAAACTTATTAGTAGAATAATTACCCTGTATAATTGCACTGAAGTCATTATTTCATATGATCACACCTCAGAATTGATTATATTGAAAGATACTGGCAAATCTGTCGATGAAGTGATGTCACCAAAAGGACAGAATACCATTATTAGCACCTCTCGTATTTCAAATAATTCTTCCCAATGATTAGATCAATTCCCAAATTGCTCCAAAGCCAGCAACTACAACAAATTTTAGAAAAACATACCAGAATATTCCTAGCTACACCTTGCAGGAGTGCTTTGGGGATCACCTACACCTGGAAAATAATTAAAAGGGGTGGGGGGGAAAAGCAAAATGCTCAATAAAAACACTTCTAATGGTCGCAGAAGTAGTAAGGCCATTTTATAAGAGCTTTAGTGACAGCCAGGAGCAGTCCTACTGACCAGGAGTTCGGATGAGCAGACAAGGTTGACCATGGAAGGTGTGACACGTGGTCCATCGGTGACGATGGAGCATGTGACACTTTGTCCATCGGTGCCACGGCCGGCTGCTACCTCCACCCATGGAGATGGCTGCAGCGCACACGTGTGCGCAGGTAATTAGCAATACACCTATTTAATGAGAAGACTTTATAGCCCTTCCTGCTAAGCTAGAAGAATTTCTACTTGCTGAGAAGACACAGAGCCAAGGGCGGGCAGCAAAGGCAGCAGGTGGCACTACGGAGAACGGAAGCGAAGGAGCAGGCAAATCCGTGCATGGGGAGATTCCCTCAGAGGTTTTAGCGGAACGATGTTTTGCAACTTTCTTGGCATGTCTATGGCAGGCAGCGGAATAGCATCTCAGAGCTCCTGTAGTAAGACACGATGCGGCTGATATTCCCTGTCTCATCCTGATGTCACAGGGGAGCCCGTCCACAAAAGAGCCGCTTCTGAGGAACAGCAAGACACCAGCGACTCAGCGGGCTCGGGTTAGAAGAGCGCGCGACAGAAGCAAGCAGGAAGGAGCTATTCTTCCCCTCTCCTTTTCTTCCCTCTCTGCTGAGCAAACCCTTTAAAGCCCAACTTCCCTGGCAGAACATTACAGGACTTTGAGCTGGTGGCACGCACGGAGGCATTCACAGCCGTGACACCTGCGTCTGGTTATTTCAGTCAAAATAATCTCCTACTCAATTATGGAGAAGAAAAGAGGAGCTCAGCCTGACTCACCGTCACATGGGGGAAAAATGCGAGGAGTTGCTCAAGTTCAAACCACTCAGCGCGCTGTGGAGGAGGATCAGCACCATGCGCTCTCCCTCTGCACAGCATCAGCGGATGGAAAAGACCCGAGTCCACTTCCTCGCTGTGCCAAATAAACTCCCCCGCTCCCTCCCCACGAGAGCATATGAGGTACTGAGCAGCCAGGGAGAAGCCCTGGAGGAATGTGTGAGCTGCCTGGCAGGTTCCTCTGCTCCGGACACCAACTGTACTCTGCATATCTGTCTGCAGGCACCGTGCTCCCATCTCGGAAACCCTGGATACTCTCACCTGTCTTGGTCTGATCTGAGCACTTTGCTTTACTGTGTAAAGCAGGCTGCTGCTGCAGGCGGGGGGTCCCAGCCCCACCTGGAAGTGACACCCACTGCAAGCAAGGGTTGTGGGCTTGGGTGCTCTTCTAAATCCCTCTCCATTCACGTACCTGGCATTTAACCTGCTGTACTGGGGTTACAGAGGGCCAGTGTGCTTCCCCTGCAAAGCGTCTATGAGCATAACTTGCGTGTTGCAATCTTAAAACCTTTTGCACTGACTGCTGCCATCTCCCCCTTTATGGGCACCGTCCTGCCATTCCCAGGGCCCTCTGGTCACCCCCATCTCACAGGTGAATGACAAAGTCCCCAGGGATGGAACAGCCTTCGCATGTGGTTTGTGCGGCGCCCTGCTCCGTGACTCATCCCAGTGGGTGCAAACACAGCAGAAATAACCAGCATTGTACAGACAGTTGTCTGGAAAGCTCAGGAACTTCGTAGGGGGGATTCGAATAGTTCCTGCTCCAAAACCAGACTGAAGCCTCTGTAACCCCTCTCTGGTGCACACCGACATGTGCATGGCCAGGATCACCAAGCCTGAAAACTTCTCCTTGCCTGAACTGTATGTGTTGAAGAATTGTTTCAGCAAATGCTCTCACCTTTCTGCTTCCCAACAGCATCCTGCCACAGCAGGATGGGCATCCTCCACGCACATCCACAGGTATTTCCTCCTCCTTTCCTTACCTCACGCTGGGGAGGACACTTCCACTTTTACTATGAGAGTACCAAGGGACCCAGGACATTCTTTATTCCAGAGCCCTGGGCACGTGAATACAAATTACAGGAATTAATAACATAGACTTTGCTAAGAGTACCAGTGGCTGGTGGGAAGAAGGCACCGTGCCATACTATTTTAAGATGCTGTATTTCAGCTGCCTTCCCAAACATTGACCGCTGAAGGCACTGCGAAGGGAACATGAAGAGGCAGCCAATTAACAGCATGCGCAGGGAAAGGTCAGGGAATTCATCTGGCTTTGGCAGCACCATTTTGTAGGCAGTGAATAGCCCTTCATTTAACTCACTTTATGCAAGTGATTGAAGTGAGAAGGGGAAACAGCTTTACACACTCATCGGTCCCTGCAAACTCCTTGTCCCTCAGCAGTGCTGCAGGGACGTGCAGATGCCACTCTCCTCGGGCAATGTCCAAACCAGAACCCAAGGTTTTGGGCCCTACCTGTGTGTTGGGAGGAAGGAGCCTGGTGTTTCAGTGCCATGGATTGCATCTAGGGATTCCTGTGCAAAGATGCCCCCAATCAGCTGTAGCCTGATGACTTGAAGTAAAAGGAACCCACTTTCACATCTGAACTGAGGCTGAGGTCTGTGAGGAGCGTGGTTGTACCTGTTGGCTCTGACCAGAGGTACCCAGAGCTGCAGGTGCCCCTGGTCGCACTGCCCAGCTTGCACGACCAGCCGAAGTGGTGATTGCTCCTCCTTGCACTTGCGCTCTGCACAGTCTGCACCCTGTTGTGATGAGGTCCTTAACTTAGTCCCTTGCTGCCCTGGGGCCAAGCGAGCTCCAGGGTACCTCACTTGCAGCTGCTGGCTCCAAAGGCAGGCTCGCGCGCGCGCAGGAGACGCCGTGCGCCACATACTCAAGTCGCTGCCCAAACGTGAGAAATGTCTTGCAAACTGCACAAAGCCCTTGCCAGCCTGCGGGCACTTCTGTCACAGTAAAACTGTGGTGCAAATGAGAAACCTAACAACTAGAAACAGCTCGGGTGTGCTGGTGAAAAGCGGAAAGCAGCCTTGTTATCGGCTTTCTCTTTTTAGAATTTCCAAATGATTGCAATAAATCACAGCTACAAACCTAAGACCAACATGAACTGTCCTCAACAGATCTTTGGGCCAAGGGCTGGCGGAGGTCCCACCAGCATTTACATAGCATCACTTCACCACAGTGACCCTGAAGGTCCAGGGGCATCGGCGCCTGCCCCAGCTCACCCAAAAATTCACCTTTGGAAATTGGTCACCAGGATCTGCCCCCAGACTGTTCAACTTGACCGTGCAGCTCGGGGGCTGAAGGCCGATTTAGCTGCCATAGTTTCTGCAGCAGCCTTGAACTTGCTACTGTCTTTCAGTAGAGCTCCTCGGAAGGCTTTGAGCAACGTCCTTCAGCAGAGGCCATAAAGGAACCTTGGGAATCACACGATGATGACAGGAGCATGTCAGTTGCAGACAGGCCCTCATGCGCTGTCTGCTCAGCAGGGCACATGGAGAGACCAATCCCTAAATGGATGAGGAGGACGAAGCAGAAGAGACGAAGGACAAGTCTTGAGGTCTTGCAATCTTCTGGCTCTCAGCCTACATTGATTAAACTACCCAGTAAACGTGGACTGAGACCAGTCTGCCAGGAACACCTTGGTGCTGGTGTTGGTCAGGTTGAAGGGATTCTGATGAGCTCCCGGAAACCCGCCCAGCTCTCCGCAGGCCACAGGTAAGGCCGTGCACAGCAGGTCACACACGCTTTGCCATCACTCTTTGTCCCTCTGTCTTCTTGGGTCCAGAGTGTAGGACCCCAGACTCTAAAAACGCCGCATTTCACATTTGCAGAGGCAGCTGCTACCTCCCACTCACACCAAAGCACTTGCCCTCGCTGGGGCCACAGCAAGGAGCCGAGCAGGCCCCGGCACCGGGAGCAGCTCCACGGACCCCACGGCAAACACGGAGCTGCCAGGAGGGAAACCTGCCGGGAGGCGGCAGGGGATGTGCAGAGCATCCTCCTCATCCTCCTCCTCCTCCTCCTCATCCTCCTTCTCCTCCCGCAACGGGCGCGCCGCAACGGGCGGGGGGAGGATGCGCACGGCGCTGCGGCAGCGCGCAGCCCTGCGCGCCGGGGGGAGCAGGAGGAAGAGGAGGAGGGAGGAAGGCGGCGGCAAGGAGGGGGGGGGTTCCCCCGCCGTCCTGGGCGGGGGCCGCGCGCTGCGCTGCGCTGCGCTGTGCGCAGGCTCGGCCAGCCCCTCGCGCCGCGCCGCAGCACGGGAGCAGCGAGGCGGAGGCTGCGCGCCCCTCCGCGCCCCCCAGCGCCCCGCGCCGGCCATGGGGCGGCGGCGCGGAGCCCGGCGGCGCGGAGCGCGGCCCTAGCGCGGCCGCATGGCGCGGAGCGCGAGCGGCCGAGGCGCAGGACGAGGACGACGAGGAGGAGGAGGAAGGCGCGGGAGGAAGGCGGCGGGCATGGGGGCGCCGCGCTGCGCGGGGCGGGCGGCGGGAGGCGGCGCGGCCCGGCGGCTGCCGCGGCGCTGAGAGCCCGGCCGTGCCGCGGAGGAGGAGGAGGAGGAGGAGGAGGAGGAAGGCCCCGATGGCGAACGGCAGCGAGCTGGGGAGCAGCAGCAGCCCACACCTGCCCAGCGCCGGCGGCCTGCTCAGCGCCTCCGGCCTCAAGCTGGCCACGCTGGGCTTGATCCTGTGCGTGAGCCTGGCGGGCAACGTGCTCTTCGCGTGGCTCATCCTCAAGGACCGGCACCTGCACCGCGCGCCCTACTACCTGCTGCTCGACCTGTGCCTGGCCGACGGGCTGCGCTCGCTCGCCTGCTTCCCCTTCGTGATGCTCTCGGTGCGCAGCGGGGCTGGCGCCTGGCCCCACGGGACGCTCAGCTGCAAGGTGCTCGCCTTCCTGGCCGTGCTCTTCTGCTTCCACGCCGCCTTCCTGCTCTTCTGCGTGGGTGTCACGCGCTACATGGCTATCGCCCACCACCGCTTCTACGCCAAGCGCATGACGGGCTGGACCTGCCTCGCGGTGGTGTGCATGGTGTGGACGCTCTCCATGGCCATGGCCTTCCCGCCCGTCTTTGATGTGGGCACCTACAAGTTCATCCGGGAGGAGGAGCAGTGCATCTTCGAGCACCGCTACGTCAAGGCCAACGACACGCTGGGCTTCATGCTCATGCTGGCGGCCGTCATCGCTGCCACCCACCTGGTCTACATCAAGCTGCTCTTCTTCATCCACGGCCACCGCAAGATGAAGCCTGCCCAGCTGGTACCAGCCATCAGCCAGAACTGGACCTTCCACGGGCCGGGGGCCACCGGCCAAGCGGCTGCAAACTGGACCGCTGGCTTTGGCAGGGGGCCCACGCCACCCACCCTTGTGGGCATAAGGCAGGCCACCCACAGCCAGATCAAGAGGCTTCTGGTCCTGGAGGAGTTTAAGATGGAGAAAAGGCTCTGCAAGATGTTCTACATGATCACCTTGCTCTTCCTGCTCCTCTGGTCCCCCTACATTGTGGCCTGCTACCTGCGGGTCTTCATTAAGGCCAGCTCCATCCCCCAGGTCTACCTGACCACCTCCGTGTGGATGACGTTTGCCCAGGCAGGGGTCAACCCCATCCTTTGCTTCATCTTCAACAAGGAGCTCAGGGTCTGTCTCCGAGCCCACTTCCCGTGCTGCCAAAGCATCCAGAGCACCCAGGGCACCATCCTCTGTGATCTCAAGAGCTTTGGCATGTAGGGAGGCTTTTCTCAGTCGGAAGAGCATGGAAGGTGGATACCAATTCCTGTGGTTCTGCGTATGATCACCGGAGAGCGTGACCCGTGGGGGACTTACTAAGCCACCACCCAGCACCCAAACCTTAGGCTGTAAGAAGCTGTTTTATTTATTTTTCTATATTTTGCGTATGCTCTCCTCGGAACATAAAAGGCTGCTGCCTGTGGGAACAGGCACTTCAGCAAAACACCCCCAAACCTTAGGCTGTAAGAAGCTGTTTTTCTTTGTGATTGTGTGGTTTTTAAAAACAAAACAGGGCTCCAAGTTTCTGGTCTTGCTTCTAACGTTTCTAGACGTGATTCCAACAGATACGGATTAAGGCCATGACATTTTTTTTCCTATTCCTGTCTGTTTTGATAAAGGCTTAACAATTTTACTCATGTAATATTTGATAAAGGCCAAGACAATTTTATACTAAAGTTATTTTTGATGACCTGAAGAGGTGTTGTTTTATTATTATTTGATTTTAATCTAAGAACAAGAAGAGGACACTTCTAATGTGGTCAGAAGTCAGTTTTTGGTGGGAGCTGTTGAGTTATTCATTCTCAAATGATTTAAATATTTAAAGCAGTTACTTCTAACTTTTGCTTGACATGCAAACACAGTGTAGAACTAATTTCAATTTTCTTGTTGCACTATTCATTTGGTAATATTTCAGAACTATTTGTGAGACGTGATTTTAAAATATCAACTTTAAAAATAATCAACTATAGCAGTTTTTAAACCTAGATTGAAATTCATATTTTACTGCCTTTATAGGAAGTTATCTACAAAACCTGGGTAATACTTGTACATTTTGACTGTTTTCTTTAATAAAATATTGAAAACCTTTACTGTATGTAATTGTTTCAGAATGACAGCGTAGTGCTTTGCTGACAAGTGACTTGTGTATTTAGAAGGTTGTATGTCTTCTGTCTGAGTAGATTTCACAGCTGAGGTTATTATGGACAAGCACAATCCTTATTTGCTGTTAGATCTCAATTTAGGTGTTTCTACCAATAAAAGTGACTAAAGCTATTTTTAAGGAGACTTAAGTTCATGATGGGCAACAGGTTTAAATAGTGCTTCTTTTTTGTCTACTGAAACCGAATTTCTGCTTTAGCAAATTGCTCTTCTGCTAATGATAGGAAAGCCTGGATAACTGTGAATCACGGATTTTACTAGGCAAAGCAGTTTCTTAACATGATGGCTTGGTTAATACTGTACACATGTGTAAACTATATTTTTAACAGGTAATTTAAAGTTATGTATAACATTTTAACCTGTTTTATTGTTCCCCAAAAACTTCTCTGGAAGGACATTAAGCAGCGGCCTGATGGCAGCACCCTGCAAAAACTTTTTTAGTCATCCCGGAGGGAGCTCTGCCTGATGTGCTTGTTCTCTGTGGCACTGTAAAGCATCTAAGGAGCTTTAATCATCAAAGTTTTGCAGCAAGTTGTGCACAGAGTGGCAGCAGTAACAAGCTTGGGTCCCCTGTGGAACTCTCAGTGTCTGTGGTAAAAGCGTTTTGAAGCAACTAGTCCAAAATTGCCATACATCAACTGAGAAGTAGCTGCCCTGTCTGATGCGGCTGCAGAAGAGACGCACTCAGAGCGGGATGGCTGCACCGTCTAAGGTGACAGCTTCCAGTCACCTTAGTCACCTAGACAGGGAGTGGTTAAACCTGCTGGGGTCTTTAGGTTGCTTTTGCCTTGCCTTTTATTCCTACCCTTCCATAACTCCAATTTGGGAACCAAGAGACAGCGCTTCTCAGAAACTGAGTTCTCTACCCAAGGAGAAGCTTGTGATTTGAACTTTGTGGGTATCTGCAGAAGGTTGTCAGGAGGCAGCTGCAGCCGCATCACCACCTGGGTATGGCCGAGACCCAGCTAAGAAATACAGTGAGATTCACTATTTCTCAAAGCTTGGGATCAAAGTGAGATGTAATGACCATGCCCAAAACTACTAAAGAAAACGTATCCATTTGCTTGGAGAGTCTGGGAGAACTTTAGAGCAGCAGAAATTGGTTATCTGTACTAACTGTATGTTCCTCCTCAAGACAGCAGACCACGTAGCTGTTAGTCCTGAGTAATGGGAATGGTGTTAGGCAGAGCTCTGGAGCAGGGAATCGCATTCCAGGTGTACCTGTCTGCTTGTTTGACTGGTGGGTGTTTTCAGTAGGATGCAAGTTCTATCGAATCAGGGTTCCTTAAAAAGTTAAGAAACTTCCTGTGTAGGTAAAAGCATTTAAGTTACTGATGCCATAAGAGTATCTAACAGGAGCCTAGAACAGCGGTCTCTGATTTAAATCTTGCTTTCTCCTACCAGCAGGAATAGGAAACAGCCCATGTTTTATTCCACCAACTCTATTAAAAATACTTGATATTTTGGGATCCTATCTGTCTTCCAAGCTATAAGTAGCATGGTGATGATTCTGTTTAAGCTGTGGTGTTGAGAGAACAGTTATTTTAAAACAAGAGTTATTTTAAATCATCCTTAAAAACTGCAAGGATTTTTTTTTTTTTAAAGAAAAATTAAACATGAGTTCTGTTATATACATGTACACCAGGGAGGAAGAAAAAAAGTCACCCTTGGGTGACCTGTGCACTCTCTGCGTATGTAGGCATTACCCATCCCAGGATATCCCAGCTAGGGAGGACTGAGCTTTACCCCCAGCTGAGGACAGGTGCATCACTGTCACTTCGCACTGTGGTCACACCTGGCTTTGCTATAGCAAAAGTACACCAAAAAAGAAAGGAAAAAAAGTTAACAAATGGATGTCTATGTACTGTACCTTTTGCATGTATTTTACTTTTCAGGGCTCTCTCAGAACTTGAGACATACTCTGCAGGCAGAGTGGGTGTTGCACGAAGGGTTAAAATGCTTTTAGCTACTTGGAGCAGGCTCTGGTTTTGGCAAATACAAAAGAGAAGGAACTCCAGTAGCTTTAACTCGGGATTTAGCTGGATGTTTGCAACAAAGCTTAATTCCAGAAAATGGGAAACTAAACAGCAAGAACAGCTCCACGTGCAGAAAGCCAAAGAGCCCTGGCCTCCCAGATTGGTCCTGCTGGCTGGGAACATCCAAAAAAGAGCATGACAGGCCAGAAAGGGCTGGAGAAATGCCCTGGGAAAAAAAAAAAAAAAAAAAAAAAAAAAAAAAAAAAAAAAAAAAAAAAAAAAAAAAAAAAAAAAAAAAAAAAAGAGCTTTTTCAACGTATTTCACAGCACTAGCATGTTCTCACAGCATCCTTTGGCCTGCAAACGGGAAAGACAAGGCAAGGGGTTTTAATGCTGTGGCCAAAAGCAGCATGCTAGAGGGAGGAAAAGGCCTGCCCTGAATAGCAGAAGTAGAGATATGGTGTTAAGGAGAGGGGCTGAGCATGGGGAGCCATCCCCAATGCTGCCTCCAGAAACTCTAACGGCTCAAAGGCTTCAGGGAGCCAGATCTAGTCCCGGTCCAGTTATGCTATTGAGTGAAGGACCATCCTCAGCGGCTGTGCCAAGGGTGGCGGATGAGCATGAGAAACGTGCAGCCAAGGAGCCTTGGTGACAACTTTTTGGGAGAGTTGCAGGGTATCTTGGATGTTTCATCTCAAAGCTGCTTTTGCAATGTTGGCTTCTTGTGCCACGCTGGTCCCGATGGATTTTGTGCAGGCAAATCCTTGCTCATGCAAATGGGCCGAGCTGTTGCTTGTAGAGCTGGAAACCAAGAGCTGAACTGCAGGTGGGCCTCATGTCTGTGGCTTTCCCCAGAGCTGACCAGGCTAAGCCCTCCTGGGCCCTTCGCCCTTTGTACAAGGCATTAACTGCCCCATACCTTGGTGCTTTATCGGAAAAAAATGATTAATTATTCTTAGTCACCTCTGTAGAGCACAGAGCATTAACAGAACCGAGCATCACTGCGGGTGAATGGTCACTGACTGCACAGCCTTTCATCGCTTAGCTTTAAAGTCAAGCTAAGCCTTTAACGCAAGCTGCTGCATTTCTGTATTTCCATTCACGTTTAATGACCCCGGGGCTTGCAGGGTGCCTGTGAGCCCATGAGTCATGTGTGGCTTTGCTGAGGAAGCATTTACCAGAAAGCCACTCTCTTCAGGGCCACGTGTCCCCCCTGGCCGGTGACCAGGCTGCTACTGGGGAGCACTCTGTGTAGGAGGCTTTTGAGTTCAAAGCTAGTCTGGCGAGGGTGCAGGGAAGCTGTGAAGTCCCAGCTAATTTTAGGTAGTCGTCACAGCGCTAATTGAGGAGGCAGAGCTTACCCGCTGGAGAGACACAGCCATCCGTAACGGTCCTGAACGTTATTTACTGCCGTGCCATTAAAAAACAAAATAAGAATTAAAAATTCTGTGTTTGTGTGAGGATGATTAACCACTGGAATAAATCACCCTGGGAAAAAGTGGATGCTCCATGTGTGAGATGTGCGGAGCGAGCCGGCACCTGCCTGCAGCGTGCCTGCTCCAGGCAGGGTCCCGCGCCGGCCGGCCAGTGCCCGCGTCCCAGCGGAAAAGGCAGCAAGAGGCAGCAGCCTTCAAGCCACACACAGACCCTTCACATCCCACACTGAGTCACTCCTTCCTTTTGCTGTTTGACTCCTCCTGTAGTGAAATCTTTGGAAAGAGCACACCTGCAGCTGCTTCTCCCTTCTCTGCCTAAGCTGGACTCGGACTGCTCTGCCCTCTGTGCTCTGCTATATCTTCACGCAGGAATATAAAAAAAAAAAGCACCGATTTTGCACCCACTGCAATGAATAGCAGCTTTGCTGGTTTGTCAGTGAGTGTCACCTTTGCCTGTTTGTCCTGAAAAAGAGCCTGTGGAGACTGGTGCAAAACAGTATTGTGATGCACTCACAGGTACCAAAATAAAAGTAAATAAAGGCGGCTACGTCCTGTTTGCAGAGCTGCAGCCAGGCCATATTTTCAGACATTCAAAACAAGGCTTAATCCCTTTGACTTGTTGCTGCTTTGTGGTGTTAATGCAGCAGACATGCAGCCCAAGCCACTCATGGGTCCTCCATGATCCCAGATGGAGAGAGGATGATAACTCCTGTCCCTACTCCTGGCACAGTGCAAGGGAGCATCGAAATGGGATGCTCCTGACGCTTGCTATGCTACCTTGCACTCAGACCTCCAGGAAAACCCTGCTCTGGCTATGTATCCAAGAGTGCTGCATTATTTCAGTGGTAATCCCTCCTTTTCCTTCATGATTTGCTCTCCAGCTGCTCTCCTTGCAGCACACCAGCCTTGCCCATCCTCAGTCCTTTACGTACGGAGGCCTTTCAAACTGGTACATAAGGGGAAATTGGCCCCTGTAACTTTTTACCATGCGTCCTATCTCCTTAGCCCCATTCTGCACGTAGTCAGAACTCTCTTGATGAATGGGAGATGATTTGCTGTATGTTGGATGTGTATTAAAGTCGCCTCCACTTCTGTACTCAGAGTTATCGATTACTCCTTCTGCTGTGCCCCTGCTGGTTTGGCTGGCTGTTCCAGCTAATAGAGAAAAGCACATTGATTTTGCTATTATCAAAATCCTCCTGTATTTGCACAGTACTTCTCTTCCTGCAATTTTCTAATTCCTTCTGGAAAACATGCTACATACTGTCAAGATTAAATTTCTGAGACATCTTGCTTAAATCTAGGGAATCTTTGCACCTCTGTTTCTTTTGAGCATCCACCTGTACCATCACAACAGACTGGAGGGCCGTCAGAAGGACCTCAGTTGCCCTGGCTGGTACTGTACATCCCTGTGGTTCCTTATGCTGACCGGGCAGATGAGCAAAGACCTTTGCAAGTTGCACGATGAGACATGCTGAGATGTTCCTTCTAACATGCTGGAGCCTCACCTGCCAGGCACAGCCCTGTGTTTCCAGGTGGTCTGGCCATCTGTGCTGGAGAGCACAGCAGGTTCTGAGTTCAGATGCAGTGGTTGGGCAATGATTGCAGATAGCAGCTGTGACAATTTAGGATGACTGCTGCCTTCAGAACACCACTGCTAGCTCATCCAGCAAAGGACACCACCATCAGAACTCTGCACAAGCCCATTTCCTCAGTATCTGAGTACTGACAAGCTTATTGTGTGTTGATACAACTGAATACAGTCTTCAACAAGAGTTCCCAACATGAGGTGCAGTCCCACTGCCTTACCTGACCTTAGCACCCAGCCAGCCACATGGTGCACTATATGCATGCCCTAATCTCCTGCTTTTTCAGATATGCACCCATTAAACTTAAACACCCAACTTCTTCACCACTCCCAATGAATATCTAATCAAATTAAGGCAAAATGCACCAAATATGATAGAATCCTGTCCCAAAATCACTTTCCACCAAAACCCTGCCTGGTACTAATCATGATAAATCTTATTTTGGTGTGAGATGATCGTTATTCTATAACATATCTGTAATACCAATATTAATATAATATCAAAAATTAATGCATACATTTCTATTAATAATTAATAATGTTAATACAATATTAATTAAACTGAACAGTGGCCCAGATACCCTAAGCAGAGTGAATAAAGGAAAGCAGTAAAGCCAGCCTTTTCCCAACACCTTGAAAAACAGGCAGAAAGAAGAACGAGATGTAGCTGTTTTGAGAAGCTGTTTCTAGGACTGTAACATCCTTTTTCAGTCTGACAACACTCACCACCAAAAGTAAATTAAGTAAAGGTGTCTTGCTGGTATAGATGGGTTAGGAAATCTTCTCCAGGATGAGAGCAAAAGATAATGGATTAGGGCAGAGTTTAGAAAAGAGCCAAGATGCAAAAGCTCAAGCTTCTTTCCAAAGTGATCTCCTTGATCAACTAACCTTCACAGTGAGTGCCAATTAATGAGAACTCAGTTACTAAAAGGGGAATTGCAGTGACTGCATTGAGGACGTGTGACAGGTTCTGCTTGGGGCTCATGCTCCAGAGGACACCAGGAGCCAAAGGAAAGAAGCTGCAGGTGGTAACAGGACAGTATCTCCCTCAAAAACCCATTTGCCTTTTCTCAGCAACGACCATTTCAGAGACACAGGCATTTGAGTCTCCTACATGTCCTGCAGACTTTGCTCTGATGTAACTGGGGCTGTTCTTATTACCCAGATAAATGCCTAATCCCACAAACTAATTGGCACAAATTACAACTACAAAGTTGCCCTGCTCCTGTATAGCAAACTCTCTGAGGAGTTGTGTTTGGCAGGTCTGAGGCTCATCAGATATAATTGTCCACTCACTTACCATGATATAAAGCAGGATTATTGCCTTCCATGGAGCTCCTGGTGATTTGTACTGCCACGAGATGAGAAGAGGGGCTGGTGTTTCCTGCTCTGTCTCTCATTTTATTTGATGACTCTGATGACTGGTAAAAATGCACAGAGCAAGAGACAGCAGAAATACACACAGCACACACATACACACCTTGGCACTGCTTCTGTTGCTGTCTTGAGCTTTCCTCCTAAGCATGTTTGGAAGTCCATGGGATGAAAGTGTTTTGCATTACTGGCATTGGGTACAAAGCGCATGCAGTTTAAAACTGCAAGCCCAGCTCACCCAGGCTTTCCACAGCCAGCCCAGAAGGAAACTCCTCCCAACTCCTTCCACCTGAGAGGGAAAGGAGTTAATTGAGCCCCACGAAATTCAAAACTCCTGTTGCAGGGACTTTGTACCCACTGACAGCAATGCAAAGCCAGGCACCTTATATCCGATGCCAAACCATATGCAAGATCCAGAAGGTTCTAGCCTAAGAGGTGGTTCAGACATTTCTCCCCATCCATACAGGGAGGCAGTGCAAGGCACCCAGCAAGCACACAGGGCATCTCGGTGGGTGTTTGCTTTTGTACAGACCCACTGTCTCCCCTCAGCCCAGCCCCAGCAGCGACTGCTGGGAGCTGAATGACTTCACTTCTCCCGTTCCAGCATATGTTTGCTCATCTGAAAGCCAAAAACGTGCGAAACTCACACAAGCCTTTGGAATTCCAGCTATAGGGACTGACAAGCAAACATGAAGTTGCACAATATTTCATAAAACCCCCACAAGTTGTACATTCAACATGCTAAAGCGTTCCTTTGAGGTGTGTGCCAAGGAAAACTCTCACATTAATGACACCAAAAATTCCCCATCATCTAAGTCCAACTTTCAGCTGGGGATTCCCACCTTGCAAACTGGCAAGTTTCCCTAAAATCAGACAGAGGCATATAATATTTTAGTAAACTATCTGCAAGGAGCTCTGCTAATTTGCTTGAATGAAATGCATGATAACAGATTACACAAAATAAAAACTTAAAACCACAATGATAAAATAATGTTATAATATTAAAATAAAACAAATTATATACTGCCATCATTCTGATACAGAATTTTTACACAGCAAATTTGATACATGTACAAGAAGTTGAGCAGCCCATTACAATAAACCTCAGAGGTGCTTTTTTTTTGAAATATAAACTACATTTTAATACATAGTTTGAGATGATCAGCTAGTTTTACACCAAATTAAGTAACAATAACTATTTTTTTTCTCATGGAATACTAAAATAACAGAATCTTTTAATGCTTTCGATATTGAAATGCTTTGGTTCCATCTGTCACTTTTAAAAAGTGCAAAAACTACATCTATTGGTTAAATGTTTACAGTAGAGATATGCCTAATGTACAAATACAGTTATATTCATGAAGATTTGAGCTGCAATGTAAATATAGAGTTTTTTTTTTTTTTTTGCAATCATTGTATGCTTTGCATTATGTAATTATTCAAATCTCAGTTTGGCTTAGGCATTCCAAGTGGAAAAATATGGCCACGATTTTCTAAAATTGACAATAATCTTGGATGTTTTCATGCTGGGTGAAGCTGGACCCATTAGGAGAACAGGACTCGGCAGGAACTGTTCAGGTCCTGCCCTCTACAAGTGACACGGCTCCAAGAAACCTCCTCTTGTCACCCCAAGATGAAAGCATCCGTCATCACCACCAGCAGCTGCTCCCAACAACCCCACCTGTCGCAGTGCAGGGTCTTGTGTTGTAATGTTGGCCAGGCAGGAAACTACACTACAGCCTTGCCCTCGGTGAGTGCCTTTCTCCATCACCATAGCAAGAAAAAGAACCCACCAAGTGGCTCCCGCTAAAAAAAGACATCTTCTTCCCGCTAAAAGAAGACATCTTCTTTTCTGAAGTTGGGTAAACACTTGAATTTGCTTGACGAGATGCGTGTGCAGGTCAGGCCGGGCCGGCACGGGCACGTGTGGTGCATCCTGCGCCCGGGGAAGGGCACCTGCAAGGAGATACAGCAGGATTCAACACAACGCGCCCACCAATTTTCCCACCCTTTCCACGGTCACTGATGTCTACCCCAGGTAGGTCCCTTTCTGTCACTCCAAACAGGAGACATCACAGGCAGAAATGAGTCTTGCAAAGCCAGATCTTCTCCCTTGTGCTCCCCCAAAGGCCATGGTGGTTTTGCCATGGATGCTTGCTCAGATGGAGAGCACGAGCCCCAAGTGTGCAGGGGGTGCTCATTGCCTCTGCCCTCAGGAAGCCTTTGCAAGCAAAGATGAAATTCAGTGACCTGAAGGTCTGAATGGCCTCTTGCTCTGTCCTGCCCTGCAGGCAAATGGCAGGTTTGATATCCAGAGCAATCAGTCTCCTAGCCCCCTTCCCGCCCACACGTTTAGGAGGGAAGCTGTTGAGCAGGCTTGCCACCTCTGAAAATACTTCATTTCATGTGCTGCAGTAAAACGATTTGCTCCCTGGTTGTCATGAAGAGCAGCAGGGTGAGGAAGCGAAGTCTAAAATTAACCTCATAAAGCTTATAAACATCAGCGACGGTGGCTGTAACTCCAGGGCGGACAGGCGACCTCACTGATTGCAATTATGTGCACAATTAGCTTCAAATGCATCCGTGTAAATTATTGTGCAATGGCAATAAACTCAAAGAAAACTGGAACCCAGCAGGATCCCGAGGATCATGCAAGTATGAAGATCCCTTGCAAAAGAAATCTATCGCAATGCATCATAAAAATAAGAATCGGGTCCCCGATATCTTACTAGATTTAATGATTTGATGCTAAGAGGACAGAGTCTTACTTTTTCCTCACTCTTCCTAAAGCTGAGCAAATAGCCTGTAGATACAGATACGGCATCAAACACAACAGTGAGATGCAACTAACTGCATGCGTAGGAAGAGGCTCCCTCGCTACCATAACCCTCCCATGCGGCTCTTCCCAAGGAGGGTTTGGAAAACTGGGGGCTCTGAGGCTGCTACAGGCTGTTTCGAGTGGGATAACGAAGGCCGCAGCAACGCAAAGCTAATAGGTAAGGAGATTGCATTGTGCAGGGGGAACAATTATCCCGGTTGTCTCCAAGCTAACGTCCGTCCCGTGCGGCCGTACTCACGCGGTGGCTCAGGGGGTGGCACTCCTCTCCCGCGCTCCCCATGGGCGTGCACATCCGCAGGCTGCGGATCCAGAGGCTCACGGCGCAGCACATCCTCGCGCCGCACTGCTGGTCCCTGTCGCACGCCTGCAGGGCGAGAGGGCACCGGTGCCGTGAGCCCAGCCAGCGCCGCGGGACCCCCGGCTGGGTCCGCAATATTTGCTCTTATCGGGTACATTCTGTGGCTTACAAAATGCGAGGACAAAAAAATCCCCCAACTATTGGCTATATTGAAGAGGGGGAAAAAAAGGAAAAATAAAACTAAGAACAATTGGCATATTGCGGTTTGGACACAGGCTATTGCACATTGTTCTCTTATTTCTTTAAGCAAAGGATCAGGCAAAAGCCTATTTCCTTTCTCAGCTGACACATTCCTCTTGTAAAAGGCTCTGATTTTACCATAAAAAAAAATCACCACTGTTTCAAATGTCTGGCAGCATGACTGACAGGCCAAGGATTCTGCTGAGCAGGACATAAAAGAAAGACAAAAGTGCAAAAAGGAGCATAAAAGACCAACATGTGCCTGTGGAAGACTGTAGAGAACAAGCATTTGCTTATGAAAAAAGCTTACATATCTTGCCTTGAGATTTACACAGTGAGTGCCATTAGGGTGTACTCTGCTGGGTAAATATTACACTATTTCAAAAAGCAGAAGTCAGCTCAAAACACAGAGCTTCCGATCAGCTAGTCATTTAGGAAAGAGCTGTTGCGCTGGAGTCAAGCAACAAGATAGTGTCCATAGCCCAAACGGTTACAGTAGCTCTGAAATGTAGATTTAACGATGCAAACAGCTCTGTGCAGCGAGGGAGTCCAAATGCACCACTGTATTTACTTAAAAGAGTAATAGGGCCATAAAACTACCATTACAGCCTTTTGGGTTGATGATGTTTACTTTCTAATGTTGTAAAGGAAAAAAGAATATCCCATTTTCATATACTTATATGTATGTGTGCCTGTGTGTCTCCAGGAGAACTTTCAAGACTCCCCTTCCAAACCTGCTTGTGCAGGAACCACACTATTCAGCCAAATGCTGCTCCCCACATCTTATCTCCAAAGTCACAACAATACTCTAAATATTCCTAATATTCAGAGGACACAGCATTAAGAACACTGTCCTTCCACACCCTGTTCCAACATGGGTCTGTGGATAACGTAGCCCAAGGGTAGGAAAGTCCCAGCTGCGATGCCTGATCCATGGCCTGAAGTTGGCAACGAGCCGTCACTCAGGTAGAGAAAGTTTCAGGCAACTCCTTAAATAACCAAGGAAGATGCCTTTCAAACCCACAGAACTTGGGAAGGAGCAGCTAACTGGACATACAGCCAAGACGCGCCCATCCTCAGGGCGCCAAAGTCACATCCACGTGATTTAGACAAAAATTTGCCCTACAGTAGTCAAGGAAGTAGCATTTTCTATTTCTGATGTACTCCTACTGATTGATTACCATTTATCTCTGCTCTACTATTCTGTGCTTAGCAATTTCTTTATTTAAGAGATCAATACTGCTTTAAAAATGTAGCCTTCTTAAAAATTGAGCCTTTCTGGCTTGACGTATTTCTACTTAAAATCTTTCTACTTGAAATTCTCAAATATTCTCCAATATTAAAAGGGCCCTTCACATACTCTCTTCTCAAAACTAATTGGTCCTGGGAAAGCAGCTAGTTTGCAGAAAAGCCTCTAGGAGCTGTTTCAATGACTTCAGTGCTCTTGGAGCAGGAGTGTATCAGAAGCTGCTGCAAACACAACTTCTGCAGGTTACAAAAGCCATGAAAACTCCCAAAAGAATGTGAGCACGGGGCTATTAATCCAAAGGAAGTGCTAAAGAAGAAAATCTTTTTAGTTGAGTGATGCAATATTTTGGGTTAAATAACAACTGGGGGGAGGGGGGGGGTGAGTTTTCCACAAGCAAAGTGAACTTCAAGCCTAAAAACAGTAGTAACAACAAAGGAGGGCTCATTTGCAATGCATGTCAATCGAAGAGAGAGAACCAGCACAGACATCCGGAAAAAAAAAAAAAAGAAAAGAAAAAAAAGAAAAAAAA